AATGCCCAGTTCTACGGTTGTTCCGAGAATTAAAGCTAAAATATGTCAAGTGCCCTGGCCCGTGGTACATACTCTATTACTGATAGCTGATGTTATTCTCAGTGGGGAGATAAATCTGGACCGTGGAATGTCACAAGGAACTTGAACTTCACCGAACTGTCACCTGCCTGTGTAAAATTGTCAATGATTTCCTTTGCTCTTGAAAATCCGAGGCTTTTATCAAGGCCCACAAGGCCCTGGGTGCTCAGCTCCTACCTCCCTCGCAGCCTCATTCATCCCTCCGGTCCTTTGTTCCCCCAACTCCCCTCTAAATTACTATTCTCTGGGAATGTGTGTGCAGGGATAGGGATGGAGCACTGTGTAGGGTGGGGACGGGAAATAAAAGCACGGTAAGCCCCTTACTGCTACAGTGTTACTGACGTTGCTTTTTCTGTACTTGGAAAATTAGGAAGATGTACCTTTAAAAGTCATGGGGGGGGATATAGGTGCTTCCTTTCTTAGAATATATTTCTCTTCTTCTCTAGAAATAACCCTAGAGAAGCTTAAAAGGTTCCTGATTGCAAATCACTAGGGAAGATGAAATACAATGAAACAGTCTAAATAGTAAGTCTAAAAACCAAGGGAAACTTCCCTTGGAAAAAGCAAATAACCAGAAGACAGGAAAATCTACAGACCTGGGTGATACCTTAATTGTAACCTCACAAAGACCCTGAGCCAGAATTATCGAGCTAAGCCACTCCTTGATTTCTGACTCACAGAAAGTGTAAGATAATATATTGTTTTAAACCAGTAGGCTTCAGGGTAATTTATTATGCAGCAATAAATAATACACATTATTTTAAAAGGATCAAAATCATGCAGAGTATATTCTCTGACCACAACAGAATTAAACTAGGTATTAATAACAAAATGGTAACTGGAAAATTGTTAATTATTTGGAAATTAAATATTATCCTCCTAAATAGCTAGTAGATAAAAGAGAAGAAATCACAAGGTAAATAAGAAAATATTTTGAACTGAACATTATTTAAAACACAACATAATCTGTGCTATATTATAATGCAGTCTTTAGAGAGAAAATCAGTTTTAAATGGCTTATTTTAGAAAAGAAAGGTCTCAGGTGAACAATCTAAGCATCCATGTTAAGAAACTAGAAGAGCTAGTTAAGCTCCAAATAAGTAAAGAATTAATAAAGATAAGGGTGGAAATCAATTTAAAAAACAGATTATCAATAAAGCTAAAATAGATAAATCTCTAGCTAGACTGATCAAGGGAAAGAATCAAAATTGCTTCTGTTCAACATTGTGCTGGAGTGCAATATGGCAAGAAAAAGAAATAAATGGCATTTGAAAGGCATTAAGGAAATACAAAGGCAAATGACAAACTGGGAGAAAATATTCACAATACTTATGTGTGAAAAAGGATCTAGATATAAAGGATCCATATGACTCATTAATAAGAAACATTTTGAAAGTGGGCAAAAAACCAACACTTTACAAAAAGATATAATGCTCATATGAAAAGATGGTCAAAATCTTTCGCCAACAGAAAAATGTAAATGTTTATCACAGTATCACTACATACCTACTAAACAGGCTAAAATTAGAAAAAGTGACAATACCAGTGGTGACTGGCATTTAAAGTCAATGAAACTCTCATATTATTGCTGGTTGGAGTGTAAAATGGCACAACCACTCTGGAAACTAGTTTGGTAGTTTCTTCTAAAGATACACACTTTCCACATGATCTAGTAATTCTACTCCTGAAAGAAATGTGAACAAAAATACATGAGAACACTTCTACACAAATGTTTATAACAGCTTTATTCATAATAGCTCCAAACTAGAAACAACCTGAATTCTGTAAACATGTGACTGGAAAAACAAGATCACACAGCAACAAAAAGGAATGAATTACTGGTACAGTAAGTAACATGGGTGAATCTCAGAAACATTAGATTAAGTGACAGAAGACAGACATAAAAGAGTACAAAGGCTATTCCACTTAACAAGAATATCTAAAACAGGCAAAAGCATTCTGTTGTAACAGAAATCTGGCCAGTGGCTGCCTGAGGTGGATGGTTGATAGGATGGGCATTGGCTGCAAAGAGATACCAGGGAAGTAGTCTGGAGTGATGAGAATTTTCTGTCTTGATTGTGGGGGAGGTAGCACAAGGGTATGTATTTGTAAAAACAAACCCAGGTTAATGGACACTTAAGGAGTACCTTTTATTTGTGGATGTATATAAAAATGATTTTTAAAAGAGCAACTATAGAGAACATGATTGTTAAATAATGAGTGATCAATTACAAATATATTAAACTGTTAAAATTTAACTACAATGAGGTACCATTTTATGCTCATGTATTAAAAAGCCTGACGACATCAAGAATTGGTGAGGGCATAGGCCAATGTGAGAATGTAAATTAGAACGTCCATCTTGGAAAATTGTTATTACCTAAAAAGTTGGTAATGTGCCTATTCTACCACCCAGCAATTGTGCTTCTAGATATAGCCCAAAGGGACTTCTGCACACATACAATATTCAGAGCAGCTTTGTTTGTAACAGTAAAAACTGGAAGCTAGTTTAAACATCCAACCTAAGGAGAACAGAAGAGTAAACTGTGGTATAATTAATTATGCATCAGAGTGTTACACGGCAGTGAGCCTGGTTGCATTACTACAATTATTGGTTGCATTACATATAAAATTAATGTCACCAATATTAAGCAATAAAAACAGCAAGTTACAGAAGAATATATACAGTATGTTCACTTTCTATAAACTTCAAAATCAAGCAAAACTAAATAATAAATACATGAAGTCAAGCTAAAAAAAACAAGCAAGACAAACTCAAAATTAAGGACAGTTTTCTCAGAGGGAGGGAGCTAGAATCAGAGGGGGCAAGTAGTGAATTTCAAAGTTATGTATTTTTCTTAAATTAAGTGGTGAATATATGAATCTTCAATTTATTAATCTCCAAACCACACATACTTTATATGCCCTTCTGTATGCAGATATATTTCATAATGAAACATTTAAATTAATTTTTAAAAGGAAAATATCACATTGGGCTAAACACTATTCCAACTACATGTCTCATACAAAGGACACATCTATCAGAAAGGCAAACAAAAAAAGACACAAACAGCAATGCTACTGTAAGATAAATTTGAACTCAGGGCAAAAAACATAAATAGCTTAGAGCCTTATTTTATGCATAGATATTTATGTAATCCATGATGAAAATATTGTCACAAACCAAAATGACATAAAGAGCATATCCTCAAAATATACAAATAGAAATAACAAATAGAACTTCATATAAGCATAATTTTTTGATTTTTAAATTTCATAGTTAAAATTAAATCTTTTGCGCATACCTAAAGATTTAATTTTTATGAGTTTTGACAAATACCTAAGTTGTGTAACCACCACAATCAAGTTACAGAACCCTATCACCCTCAAAATGCACTCATGCTATCGCTTTGAGTCCTCACACCCCAGTCACTGGAAACTTTGATCTGTTCTCAATCCCTATAGTTTTGTCTTTACTAGAATATCACATAAATGGAATCATACTGTGTATGAGTTTGGCTCCTTTCATTCTGCATAATGCATCTGAGATTCTTCAAAGTGTTACGTGTATAAATTCTATTTGATTGCTGAGTAGCATTCAGTTTTATGACTGTACCACAATTAATTACTATTCGCCCATTGAAGGGCTTTTGGGTGGTTCCAGTTTGGGGGAATTATGAATAATGTTATAATAAACATTTGTGTACAGAATTTTGTGTAAGCATATATTTTTATTCCTCTTGGATGAATACCCAGAGACATCTAGGTCATATGGTTTTTGTATGTTTACCTTTATAAGAAATAGTCCAACTTCTTTTCCAAAATGGTTGTACTATTTTGCATTTCCTAATAGTAATGGAGCAAACAAAGGTCTTGTTGCTTTGCATCCTTGCCAGCGTTTGGTATTTGAAGTATAATCTTAACATAGCACTATCAATCTGTGACAATTCAGACACTCCCAATCAAATATAAAATATAGAGACAGAGATTTGGACAATAGAATTAGAAAAAAAAAGATGGAATTAACAAATACTTCATGTCAGTATTTGTACATGATAGTGAAAACGCTTTCAAGGATCTGTGGAAGTTATGAAAATAGATCATATTCTCAGCCACAAAGAAAAATTTAATTCACTTCCCAATGCAGAAACTGTATGACAATGTAATAAATGTTGAAATAACAAAAGCTTAAAAATAATCATATAGAGGTTACAAAACACTTGACAAAATACTTACTGATTTGGAACCAAAGAGGAATTTTTAAAGACTGTGGAAAATGATGAACATAAGATCCCTATTCTGCTACAAACTCAGACTGAAATGGTTTCATTATTACAAAAAACAAATTTTCCTTATCCAGTTAGGAGGAAAAAAGGGAAAGAATTCCCAAGGAAAACAGTAATAAAAGATAACCAGGTATTCCGACTGTTTACTGTTCCCTCTCCCAGTAATCAAGCTCTTACAGGGCAGGGCCATATTCCTGTTATCCAGTAGTGAAAAGTGCATCTGGCTCACTGTGAGAACTCAATAGTTAGAAGCACGATTATTTTCCCCAAGTTAGGCTTCCTTTCCTTTGGGCTTCCAGAACAGACTGTGCATAGCTCTGTTTTAGCATTTATTAAGGCACTACAATTACATGAATTTTGCAGTAACACCTGTCTCTTAAAAACATGCATTTTGTTTACCAATCTGAATGCGCCAAGCGATTGACATTATTCATCTAATCATTACAATTTTTTTTGATATTCCTATTTTCCTATTCTCCTGTTAGTCTCCGAAAGGTTACGTGATCAAGGTCAAAGAGCGAATTCATCATAAGGCCAGTATGTGGTTGCACCAGTGCACTTTCAAACACAAGTTCTTTCTACGGTAACAGGTTAATTTGAATTCAAAAACAAGATTAGTTTGTCATCTTCATATCCTCATCTCCAAACCTTGCTCCCAGCATGGAATACCTCAAACAAGTTAGGCACTACTTGCGTTCCGTTGTTTGCAAAGTTTTCTTTTGACCGCTGTAGAAGCAGGAACTAATTACATGCGGAGATTGAGACGCAGAAAGAAACGCAGACGATCTTGAGGCACTGCGTAACTCTTTCTTTGATTCTCATCTCTATGGTTGACATGGGGATCACTCTATACTCTGGAGGACTCAGCGAGCGTGCCCAATCAGGAGGCCATTTTGCGGGCACGTGGATTGAAATATGACTTACTATTGGTTAGTAGTGGTGAAGCCCGCCCAACCACCCTGTCTGCTCCTTTAAGTAGAAGCCGGGAAGCCACCTCAGTCTTTCCGCGACTGTGAAGCTGGGCAGGTGAGGTGCTCGTCGTGTTGGTGGCTGATCGGGCCGGGGCTCCTGGGTGGCGTGTGGGGCGGGCAGCCAGCGGTGATGACATTCCAATCAAAGCACGTGTTAGACTGCTGATGCGGGTGATGCGAACTGGAGTCTGAGCCGGGCCGCCGCGTCGGCGGGGAGGGGACAGGCCTGCGGGTGCACAATCGCTCATTCTCCGTTCTCGTCGTTCTCGTCGTTGCAGCTGCCGGCCGCCCCGAGAATGTCGGATCTCACGTTCATCCCAGCCCTCCGGTCGACCCTCTCCTGCACCCTTTAATAAAATGGATTGATTCTAGCTCTGACTTAGGTGTTTTATTGTCGCAGAGCGCTGCCTTTGAGCCCCCGCTGCGCCTGCGCGTGGCGCCGGGGGTCAGGCTGCAGCGCCAGAGCACGTGCTTGCGCATAACTGGGGCCGCCTGCTTGCCGCGGGCCGCCCTTTTAATCGTGAGCTACACGTAGCACCAGGCCGCCAGGCCCCAGAAGTTACGCTGGGGTTTGCGGCGACTCAGCCCAGCCCTTGGAAGGCTGAGGTAGCCTAGGGAAGTCCCGATTGTATCCTGGTGGCCAATGAGACTTGAGGTTAAGCTAACCGCATCCTAGATGGGTCTGCTGGTGGGCAGAGGAGAATCATGCTATGGCCTTCGGTAGTTTTAAGGACGACGGTACGCTTGACAGGAACGGGCTTTGGTTTTAGGCTGCATGGATTTAATCTGGCTACGGTGTAGCTGCGATCTATTTACAAATACCCTTTAGAGACAACAGTTTATTTGGATCCTGTGCTAAGTGTGGGACTAAAGGCTTTGGGCAAATGTTTAAGCCTAAACAGCTCACAATGGGGTAGTTGGGAAGATGAATTAGATTTTTATGCATTTCAGGGCACAACAAAATAATCTGAAAGAATAATCCTAACCTAGGTTCTAGGCGAACAGTCTTGGGCTTTGGTGAAATACACATCAGTTCTGAGTACAAAGGTGCATGGGTTGAGGGCAAGAATGCCCAAGTGCGGGGTCAAACTGCTTTGGTGCTTAACTGGAGGAGACCCCCCAGTTAACAGGATTACTAGGCAATTGCAGGTGTAAGATGCAGCTCAGCAGGCCTGTCTCCCTCAGGTTTTTAAATTTGGGTTGAGGCTAATAGCACCTACAAAGGGTGTTGTGAGAACTACCTTGCAACCTTACAAGAGCACTGATGGGTAATCTGATAACCCAGGAAACAAACTACTGGTTGGCAATTTATGGCCCATGTGCCCAGTACCCGCTGTTCATTCTGTTACCTAAACAGGATTCAGTAGAAGTAACTTAAATGCTTATCTAGTATTTGACATTTATTGTGAAACAATGCAAACAATTGTAGATGCCCACATACTATTTGATTCAGTGCAGTAGGGTAGAGTTGTGTAATCTACACGGTAGTGCATCTAATTCTTTGCCTTTAGTTATTGCACAAAAATTATAAAACTGAACAAGATGTGGACTGACAGGTAAATCTGTACAAGATGAAAAATCAAGAGTGCACTGACTGGAATGATCAAATAATTTAAGTCAAATGTTTTAATGGTGCAATTAAAGTAAGGGTTCAAATACAATTTTTCAATATATTAATTTCTTTACAGGTATGTTCAGGCAAGGTGCTGTTTAAAAAATCACTATTAGCTTTGTCCACACATTACGTTATCAAAATTACCCAAGGTACCCAAGGTAATTTTGATGCTGAATTCAGCTTTAAACAAAGTTTGTATTTTAAGTGTACTCAAAGCAAATGATACAAAGCCCCCAAACTTGTAAACTAAGTATTCTGACACAAATGCACAAAGTAAAGTTGGCAACAGTAAAGGAGGTCACATTAGTTTAAATATAGTGTTTGATGTTGAGCAAACTCAGTCTTCACTCTAACAATGATAGAGGGTAGTTCTCCATTTTGGCTATCAGAAAAGGAAATGGCCCACAAATTGCAAAGCATTTAGATGCCTATGTAAAGCTTCCAGAAACAGGGTGTGCCAAATGGAAAGATAGTAGCTCTGGCTTTCTGGGCCCACCCCAGTGCAGACATGTGCAGTGTTTGACATTTTCATGTATGCTCATGTTTCAGGAAAACATTTGGGATTAGAAACCAGGTGACTGATTGTACCTCATTGATAAAAGGCTTGGGATGGTTTGATCTCATGGCTTTGCCTAATGTTCACATTAATCCCACTGTCCTCACCCCAGCTGATAGTGTGTGAGTGTTCTATGGCTACTTGCTTCCAAAAGCACAATTTAATATGAAAAAAAGTAAGTTGCTATGCGTGTATCTTTATCACCAATGAAATGGTTCCACAATTCCACTCCCCACCCTCTTAAGCATGTTACTGAATTGACATTCTCTGGGAGTGGAGGGCTGCATCACACACAAACTAGAAGTGAGAAAACATTCCATTGTGCCCTGACTGGCTGAGGAAAAGCTGTGGAGGAGTCATGGAGGCAAAGGGAAGCCTTCCAGTTGTATAGCCACATTCTTGTGCTCTTCTGCCACAGAAACTGGTAGATGCCAAAAAGCCAGGGTGTGAGTCACCTATAACCTCTGAATCTGTGATGATTCTCCCAGTCAACTTTGCTGAGTCAAAGCTTTGCAGCAGGCAATCCAGACACCAGACGCTGGATGCGTGGAATGACTGACACCTCACAGTGGAATGGGCACCGGCAGGCAGAGGGCGAAAGCTGTGGCACAGTGCTACAGCAGATGGCAGCCAGGAGCCCCACACGTTGAGCCAGGTCTCATAATACTGGGAACGTCAGATCTTCACCCATCAGAGCTGATCAGCAGCCTCCACTAGTGGGTCTTTGAGGAGGCAGGAGGTGGAGCGAGGGTCCATGGCCGAGTGCATTATAGGGATATAAACATCATCCATGTTTGGCATGACAAAAACTTTCTGCAGAAAGAAATTAAGGAGCAGCTGTGTGGGAGAATGCTTTGTTTGCTCAGGCTGTTGCACTATTCTGGTGATAATTTTAGGCTTTATACAATATTTAAAGTATGTACGAGACAACTTTTTCTATATGTTCCACACTTATTCCTCTACCATATTTAGAAGGAGTTGGGGATTCATACTGCTGCATTAACACAGAACCCAGCAAGTCAGTTCAAAGGCAGAAGCAGACTGATTTCCTATACATAAAATGACTCATGAATTGATAAATGACATTTTAAGAGAACTGACTTAAGCTGCTCATAGTATTTCCAAATTACTATGTACAGAACATGTATTCCAAGTGAATCTATCCTTTTAAGTCCTAGCAACAAAATGTAAGCTAATTTTTTTCAAACCAGACAAAGCTATATACAAAAGAAATCCTACTAGACTGAACACCTGAAGGATCATCAGTGATTGATAGCGATAGCGCTTTGCCTATCCTGTTTATAACCTCAGTTTATATTAAGTGAATTTTGGCAAAGCAGGTAGCTATGGGGGTGCAGCAATTACCCTTCAATTTCCAACTTGTCTCAAAAATACCAGGGACCAGTCTCCGCCCCTCATCCCTTCTTTCGCTCACTGCACACTAACACCCCTAAAAGAGATGACCCACTTAAATTCCTAATGTAGGATCTAGGGAAAAGGAAAAAAAAAACTGAAGGTACGAGGTTGTCTTTTTCCTCTAGGTTCAAAGAACTCCATGTAGTAATATTAAGCTTCTCAGAAATTGGTTTTCAGTTACAGGTAATCTATAGCTTTTAAATAATAATACAATTGTTTAAAAGTAATACCTGAAAATAAGCTACTGCAAAAATAAAATGGGTCCTCTTCAGAAGGTGAAATTAATTACCAAGTAAACAAACTACTAATTCATAAAACCTTGAAAGACGACTGTGCCTCAAATACTGGTAAGACTGTGACAAAAATGGCTCATCCCAGGGCTCCACTGCTATTACCTTTGGTGGCAAAATGCAGAAGAAAGGCTTGCAGAATGAGCTCTGGCTTAGCAAACCCACCTTTGGAGGGTCCTCTGAACTACTTAATAGGGTTCTGTGGTAAGTTGCAGGGTTTTTGAAACAATATCTACAATTTTAACCTGTCTGATCACATGTGTACTTCCCTGGGATGAGAGCCTATAGTTTCATCAGTCTCAAAAGAGGATCCTGACCCAGCTGAAGCCTGGAAGCTGGGTCCCACCCAGGGCTTTAGACACGGCGGAACACCAGGGGACACTGCAGGTTTACCTGAAACTCTTGCTCCAGTTTCTTCTCTATCCAGTCTGTCACATGAACTAAAGTCACCTCTCTCTCTCCAAGTTTTGGCCGCGCTTTCAGCTCTACATATGGCGGCTTCCGGAAACCATACCTTTTTGAAGAAGACAAGTAAGAAACCACCACATTTAGAAGCAAAGAAAGGAAGTGGATGGGTACCAACGGCAAATGTTCCTCATTTACACAGGGCTTATAACTACTTAGATGTTGTCTTGGTCAGAAATCCCCTCAAAATACTTCAACCCTGTAGGTATGCGCGGTGAGCTCCCAGTGTCCCTGGCCGTGTGGAGGGCTGCGATGACCTGAGGGCAGCTCTGACACACTGGGAAAGCCAGCGAGTGCTGCTGGAAAAGTCTGCGACCCGGGCATTGTTTTCTGGTTCTTGTTCCTAAAATGGCAAGGACCCTTTTTGTTTCTATTTTAATAAGAGTAGTGGACATGCCTTGTAATCCCCAAGTATACAAGTGTACAGAGCAGAAACGGAAAGACACTGCCTCTCCCTGATTGTCACCCCCAAGACAGGACCTGAGAGAAGCGGAGTCAATTCTCCCCAGACTCCTGATATGCATACGTAAATACAAAACGTTCTATAACCCGCGTTTTCATTCCACACTCCACACCAGGCTTGTTATGGCTTCCCAGTGGAGCAGACTGCCACTCAGAACTGCTGGTAAAGTAGCCAGACGAGAGACTGCGCTATCAAGCTACATAAAAACTTCATCTGCATGGACCGATGTTTTAAAAAATAAAAATGTCAAGTTGCTATAAATGTTTTTAAACACTCTCAATATCTATCCTTATATCTTTATTGATCAATAGGAAATAGTTCTGCATTTGAGCACGTACTGGGTAGCACTATCCTAGAGGCCTTTAATTTTATCTTCCACTGTAAAGAAAGAAATGTCATCAACACTGACTACTAAAAAAATTTTTTTTGTTAGGATTTGAAGACTGTAAAGTATTAGCAATAGTTATTTCTAGATGCTTTTTTTCTTGTTTTCCCCAATCTTATTCTTTTTCACCATGAAAATGTTACCTTAAAAATAAAATCTATAAGATATTAAGTTTTTACTGGGAAACACCACTATCATCATCAAATCATTAGTTAATCCAAAACTTGTTTTCTGATCTTTCCCACAAACCCTTCTGAACACCGAGGATGGGTATCAGCATGTTGGTTTCACTCTAGGACAGACAGAACAGAGCTATCTTTTTCATATGAGTGTGGTTGATGGTACAGTGAGGTCTCTTACACAACCTCTGTATATGCTTACATACACTTTATAAGACTTGGAATGCCGATCTGAAGTGATTTTCTTCTGCTGGACTGATGAACAATTTACTGCAATGATTTTCCATCCTGGCTCAGTCTCCCAAGCCCTGAATCCTGGGGGCCAGGCTGGGCATATCTTCATTTTTATCAGGTCCCCAGGTGACTGGGATGTGCAGGGGGGCTTGAGACCCATTGGCCATTCAATGAGAACGCTCTGGCTAGACCTCCTACCACAGTTAGCAACACCCAAGCTCCTGCCTCCAGAACATCCAGCAGGAGGTCTCCCCTAAGCACGTGGGCCTCTGCCCAATGCGTGACCCGCAGCTGGAAGGTGGGGGTAGAGCAGTGCCTATCTCCACAGGCTGCGGTGAGGACCCTCCAGGTGAAGCAGTTATGCCCCAGGCTGGGCGGAGAAGAACTCTACAAACAGCAGCTTTCCTACTGGTGGACACAATGGGCTTTGGAGAGGAGGAAGACCAAGAATACAGAGAGCTCATCCTTCAAACTTCACTTCCTGACCTTAGCTCTTCCTGATGCATGTGAATTAACATTTAAATGTGAATTAATCATTCACAGAAGAAAGCAGAATTGGATTTACAACTAACATTAAGATTCCATGAAGAACGTCTGAAAGGTGCTTATGCCCAGGAGAAGGTCCTTTCCATAATGAGAAGGGCGAGCAGACTGGAATTTTTATGGGGACCCACTTGCCATCCCTGAGAGCCCCCGTACGTACCATATTCGGTCAGTCGGGGGTGGTGGGATGTTCACCGCCAAGGTTCCTCTACATTCTTGTACTTCTACAGTTAGCAGCAGGGGTGTATTGGAGACTTCTTCAATCTTCTTTTTAATGAACTCTGTTTCCGTTGCTTTCTGGAAATATTTTGACTTGGTAATTTTATCAACAAACCTCATAATCTTACTTGTTCGGTGACCTCCAACATACCTATAAATGAGGGACACAAACAGGTGTTCGTATAAACTTTGCTCCTTCACAAACAAAACCTTTGTGGCTTTTCGTTCACCTTACTTTAGACCCGAGGTTCTCAACCACAGCACTGCTGACCTTCTGGACTGGGTGACTCCTGTCCTGTGCATTGCACAATGTTTGGCAGCACTCCTGGCCTCAACCTACTGTATGGCCACAGCACGCTGCCCTGACATTGCTAATGTCCCTCGGTGGCTAGATGAGAACAACTGCTTTACAGGAGGGGTAGACACCAGACAGAACCCAAGTCTTGGCAATGGAGAGATAGACAAACCTCTCACAGTGCAGAGAAGGCATCTCATTGTCCTCCTTAACACCTCTCAAAAACTGAATATAAATTTACTGTCTTCTTAGCAAAATCTCACCATCTCTTTACAGCAAATAAGAAATCATGCTGCATCGACAGGGACACAAAACAGTAATTAAATGACTGCCTTTTAGGTGACAGCATACTAACTCTAAGTGGCAACTACTTTTCACAGGTCTTAGGAACTTGTAAAGAAAAATGTTACACTGAGTGGGCATGCTAAGAAAGCAAGGTTTTTTATCAGGTCGTACCTCCCATAAGACAGCCCTAAGAAGAGAGGTTATTTGCCTTTTACAATCCTGCATAGCTCCAGTGTCAGGAGCAGTAAGTGTGTATGTAGGGAAAAGCAACCGTTCTTAAGGTCAAGACAGTAAATTTTAAATAATGCACACAAACTTTAGTATGAACTCCTCAGACACCTAGGTTCTCTCCTCATCTTCTGTAGTAGTTCAGAAGTGAATAGGATTGTATTTTCTTACAAATGTTTCAGAATCACCTGCTTTCTTTATAATCTTAGTTTCTTCAACTCAGTTTAAATAATTAAAAGATCCTTACAGAGAGGCTGACTAAACACTCTGGTCATTCCACAGCCTAAGTAACAGACAAAGGGAGACCAGAAAAATGAACCTCATGACCCAAAAGATCAGCTAAGCGACCCACATTTTCAAAATTCACCAAAGAAACCACCTGAATGTTCAGCTTTACAGGAACTAGTGCGGCAACAGAAGCAAAGTAAGGGGAGTAGTGCTCCCACTGAGCACCAGGGGGCGGTGGTGTACAACCTGTGCTCCTTCGGGTTAGCAGGCCCTTCAACGCTCCACAAGGCCCTACCTAGAAAGCCACTGTGGTCAGAACCCTCTTAATTAAGGGCAGCTACATGGGTCTTTTTGTTTTGGGACCTAGAATTTTAAGCCACTGACTTGGTTCTTAATGCAAAAACTATTTGCTTGACCTGAAGGAGGAAGAAAGATCATGGGGGGAGAGGGGACAAAAGCTCGCTCCCAACCTGCCCTGACCGGCACCTGAGACCCCAGGTGGCTCCACGCACCCTTCAGCCCCTGGGAGAAGTGGTTTGTCTCCTGTGCTGGGCTCTGGCGCGTCGTCTTCGTCGGAGGAGCCAGCGCTGGAGGATTCCTCATCACTGTCAGCCAGACAGTATGCCCTGGGCCTGCAACTGAACAGGGCAGAGTCAGCACCGCAGCCTGCCCATCAGGCTCTGCCCAGAGAGAAAACACACGCTCCACCACCACGGCTACACACGCCATCATCCTCCCCAACCCACCCGGCCGAGAAGAGGCCCAACCCAGGAGTCCCGAGATTGGCTGGTTACCCAGGAGATCCTTCAGTGCCAAGTCCCCTGGCAGGAGAGGGGCACAGAGGACTTGGGACAGGGAAGTTCGATTTTGCGCATGCGTAAGGACAGGTGGTGAGAGTGTGCTGTGATTCACACAAAATGCAGTGATTCCACCAACTGGGCAGCAGTAGCCAGGAGGGAGGGTGAATGGCAAGAATGAGGGTTGCAAAGGTGAAGTGACAGCTTATGCTGGTGACATGACCACCTCTCATCGATGATGGGGATGTTTAGGCAAGTCCCTGACTAGTGGAGTTCAGCAACTGTGATGCTTTCTGGCCTTGTTACCTCTAAATTAGTTGTGACCCATGACTCCTTCCTAGTGAGATTGTGTATTTTACCCCACACCTGCCCCAGCTCCCGAAGGTCACAGAAAAAGCCAACAGTCACAAGGTACAAATCTCAAGGGACTCTAGGAAGCACCCGACATGAGAACCCAGGACCTTCCCTGGAAAAGCACACATTTAAAAACCACTACTAAAATCAAGTAACAAAAAGCCTCATCAGAAAGCAGTGTCCCTCATTAATCTTTCCAAGTCAGAAATTCGGTTTCCAGACGCACGAAGGTTGCTGGATCACCAGCATGGTGAGTGATCAAGGTCCCCTCTGAGGGCACTGGGGGGGTCCTGGCTGAGTTTCAGCCCCACAAAGAACAGCTCCCCCTGGATGGTGGCTTTGCTTCAGGAAGGCAGATGAGCAGGGCCCATCTCCAAGGCTCAAAGACTTAATTGGGATGAAATAAACAAGGGACAGAATGGTCTCTGAACACTATTAAGCAACCAAATGGTTACTAAGCAGAGGCTGGGTCTTGCTTTTTTGAAAAGGACAGAATGACTGGGATCAGGGAGGGCAGTGGAGCTGAGGGCCTAGCTCCCTTGCAGGCGCAATCCCCTAGGGCTTCCTCTGATGCTGTCCTTGGGCCAGCAGAAGCCCAAAGTGGTAGGCATGTCCTGGCCAAGGAGGGCCAAGGGCACCGACGGCAGAGCTCGCACACCAGTCAGCATTCAGAAGGGGAGACTGAGATCTCTGCCCCTGAAGCAGGAGCCCAGCTGGAAGAGGACCTCGTGAGCATCCTCCCTGGCAGGACACCCAGATCCTCCTCAGCCTGGGTGCTGAAGCATTACAGCCACTCCAGGCAACAGGCTTGAGTAGTGTTCAGGGGAAACTCCCTCAGCAGAAACAAAAGCCTCTTGTCCCTGGCCATGGTGACAGTACCCAACTAACTATTTCTTCCTCCATTGGAGGCCTGGCTAGTCCAGGAAATGCTTATGTGTCTTCTTTGGCCATGAAGCTACTTCAGAACTTTCCAGTTAGGCAGCCTTCATAGAGATCTTTTACATAAAATGCACATAGCAAAATATGATTCCTAAAAAAGCCTAAATAGGGTCTTGGGATGAGTAAAGTCAGGGAGACAAATCCCCACAGATGATACAACCATCTCAGAAACCTATCTCACCTCTATCAGTATAACAACTTTGCTCCCTGACTCTCACACCTGGTGCTGCCAGGTAAGGAACCTGTGTCCTTACAGCACAAACAGCTGCCTTATGATCTGTGACCACAGTGAAACCCGCTGAGCCACCATCCCCTCCTGTTCCCACCAGTATCTGTCATCTGGCAGCCTCCAGACCTGGGACAGAAGATGCCAAAGGCTGAGTGAGCACTGCAGTGAGCTCCCAGGTTCCCAAAGTAATTCCGCAGGACAGAGAAGAGGACAAATTTTGTGGGTTGAAGTTAATAATTTACACAATGCTGTATCAGTTGTAGTAGATCAGATAACATGAAATTCTGATTTTTGACCAAATGGTACCTCTACCTCTGCATGGGGAGCTATATTATGTGGTACACAATACTTAATAATTAAAGGGGCAATTAAATGTTTGACTGAGATACTCAGTTTTATAACTGAACATGCATTTTATGATCTCATGATGTCAGCAGGAACTTAGGAGAAAGACACAGTGCACATTCTTATATATGTGCTAGAACATAACAAGCCTAATTTTTTAAAACACACCTTAGAATTCCAGATGAGTATGACATCCTTTCAAAGAGCCACCTTAAGAGGCTTATTCTAATTTTGCTGTCTCTGCTGAAAATCTTTTTGGAAATGTGCTTGGAGTCAGACACATAAGAAAAAGTGAATGATTTTATTCCTGATACTCTGTCTCAGACCAAACATTTTATTTCTTGATCTCATCATCACCTTTGCCTCTGAATGACATCTAGCAATTTTTCAAAGATCCAATCTGCCCACAAAGCAGGATAATGTGTCATTCGGGATAGTTAAAAGAATGTCAAACTCCAGAGGCAATTCTAAAAAGCAGCTCCAAAAGCTGCTGTAAGGAGGCACAATCAGATTAAATGGCCCAGTGAGGGCACTGCCTTGAGGGGGTCCATCCTCATGAGAATGTATTCATTTTTTCACTTCAGAGAAATCAGTTCCGGACATCCACCACAGACACGCATGTGTGTACACCCACAGAGCCAGACGGTCAGTGTGGGCTGCGAGCTCTCGGCTCCCAGAAAATCAGGGGCCTTAGGGTGGGGTGGTAGTGCTGGTATGGGGTACACTGTGGCCTGGGGACCCAATACGGAGGTCGGAGGGGGCCTCCACACAGGACTCGGACCCTGGGCCCAGGTTGCAGAGGCAGAGCATTAAGAGGCCAAGTGCCTTACAGGACAGGACCCACTCCAGTGCCACTGTCCACTGAAAGAGCAGGCCACATGCAGAACATTTCCCTTATTGACTGACTGTTCCTTTTGAGGTAAATTCCTGAACTTGGGGGCATGAACGGAGGGCCTGGGTTGGGGGCAGGAATGCCGCTGGCCAACCTCAGACATGCTGCTCTTTGGGGAGGTTTACTATTAAGGAAAACATCACTTCTGAAGGTCACACACTCAGTAAGAGATACCATGGATACTGACATCTGTCACTCTGGTATTTAGCCTCACAGTGATTCCATATCCTCATGACTGAGGAAGTGAAGAAGTGGATTCTGCAATCAGTCCTGGGATTGGTTCTTAGCTGTGGATGGGCTTTTAGAGGCTCTTGATGCTCCCAGACATTGTGAGCCAAACGGCGTATGTGTAGACAATCTGAAAGTACTTCACTTAGGAGGAAAAGGCCTAGAAAAATGGACCCATAACCTCTTTTTCTTTTGCATAAAGTACCCCTTTGGGAATCTGAGAGCTCTGGATCCTTCTCCCAGAAAATGCCTACACATACAACGCTTGGCTCACAATGTCTGGGAGCAGAGAGCCTCTAAAAGCCCATCCACAGCTAAGAACCTAATCCCAGGACTGATTGTAGAATCCACTTCTTCACTTCCTCCTAAGTGAAGTACTTTTGGATTGGATTGCACTTTTCTTTGCTTTTAAAATTAAATGACAGCCAATCACATATCAACATACAAGTTACTACCCTCATAGGAAGAAGCAAAACATCAGATTTACTAGGGAAAATATGGAACTTCAGAGGCATATGACATTAAATATAATGCCATCCTATTTCTAAAGGAGAGCATTTTTTCAGTCCAGAGAAGCACTGCTTGCTCAGAAACCTGTCTATCCTCTGATCAGCCAGAATGTATGAACTTGAAATTGTATCAAGAGGGCCACATGAGTAACATGAATGTGGAATGCCCAAGTGGCAAGGACCTCAGAGACCTGGCCATCTGGGACCCGACCTCTTTGCCATGGAGTCCCAGCAGCTCTGTGCTGTTTCCAGAAAGGGCTCCTCGCACAAAGGCTTCTGACTGACGTTTGCTCTGTCATGCCCCCATTTAGTTAGATCTGCTTTTCAAGACTGCTCTGCCTAAGGCTTGGTTTTAGAGGCTGGACTGATGATGCTCAGCTGGTGGGGGCCTCCGGCAGTAAGAAGCTGAGTCTCACTAGACAGCTAGATCAGGACCCCAGCAGTTCCAATCAGGGAAGCTGGTAAGACTTTCACTGCCAGGAAAGCATCTTAAATACTCCTGGGTCTACAAACTGAGCCTTTGTGTCTAGGAACATGATGGGAGAACAAGCTTCCGAGTGGCATCACATGGAACCAGACAAGGTATGAAATGCTATCTACATGGAGAGTTGATAAATACCACTCACCAGAAAATACAATCCACAGATTGTCGAATCCAAACACATTTTAACAAATAGCAGAAAAATGAAAGGAAAATAGCACAGATACAGGTTAGATTGCATACAGCAGGTGAAATTCTCCAATTATTAAAATAGGAACATTTCATTAAGTAACCTGGATAAATCAGAATAATCTAAGTAAAAGAACATTCTTAAATGTATAACCCTACTCTCCCCCCATCTGCTATCACAAGCTTTAGATCATAACTAAGCAAAAGTCTAAGAGTCTGTGTTTTATATTTAGGTCCTGAGAAGGTGCTCCTTGTGGAGTTTTCCTGTTATCACACTGTTAACTCCATGCAAAGGGGCTAAGATGTGAGAAGCAGACTCCAGTCAGCATTTTTAGTTTAGTAAAAACAAGAATAAACTTAAAGCTGTAGTCACGAACTGTCATTTTTAAGGTGTGTGGGAATGTGAAAGTTCCAGTTTATATCCATTCTAGGCATCTAAGGAAAAAAAAAAAATTCAAGCTTCATTATCTCACAAATCTGGAATATTTACTAAATCAGACAAACTCTGGACAGTAGATGCAGTATCTTCTACAAAGAGAGGAATTTACTAAGCAAATCAATATTATATTATTTAGGGAAAATGTATCTCAAGACACTTGACTGCAATATCCATCATCTAATCATAAATAATTCTAACTTTGTGATTAAAGCAGCCAGACCCCCTAGGTACCTTAGCCTTGCCCACACATTGCTGTTTGTGGCTGCAAGCTGGAGGAGGACCTTTCTGAATGACAGTTCTCTTCATAGAGCATTTTATTGTGCACAGGAGACTGCCCGGGTCTGTCAGTGCTGCTTTCTGGGTAACTGATATGGTGGCCCTGCTGGCAGCACTGAGGCCCAAAGGTGCTGAGCAGAGGTGGGGACCCATGGTCTGTGGGGTGAAAGGAGGGAACCATTCCCTGAAATCCTGTGCTCCAGAAGCCCTTACATGGAAGCTCACTCAACATCCGGGGCTACTATACACCAAACCTGCTTCTCACAGGCTGGAGGGAGAGGCTGGTTCCCCAGGGTGGGTTAGTAAAGTCATATAGCCCCTTACCCTTCTTTGCCAATTTCTCCAACCTTCAGGGCTTCAACAAGAGGCTCTTTACCTAGTTTGGTCAAATTCATTTTGGTCTCGAGAGTCATCAGAAAGGACCCATTGTAGGACATTTCCAAATCGATCCAGAGTCCTAGAGAAATGGTGAAAAAACAGGTTTTTTCCCCCCAGAAAACATGACTATAAATGACAGTATAAAGTTTTCTATTTTGAAGCATTTAAGTAGGTATCACATTAAAAGTCTGTAGATATGTATCGCCTGTACTGCCAATGCATGCAAGAGGAGATTGTGGGGGAAAAAGCTTCTGGAAATGGTTCAAATTGTCAGCATTTCAACAGCCATTAAGAAAAGTCACAGTGAGCTCAGTGCACTTGTTAGCACTGGAAGGGTCCCATCTCTGGGTTCTTCTCACATTCAGAAAGAAAACACACTCCCAGCCAGAGGATGGCTTGTCCCCAGGGCAAAGCCAGGATGCGGTGTGCAGATTCTGAGGCAGAACAGAGATGCAGAGACTTCACTGCAGGCTGGGCTGTTCTCTAAAGACAAATGTGAGAACCACTGTTTTTCTTAAAATTATCTAATGTTGTTAGGGGGGTGATGGTGCAGGAAGGGGCATAGGGAATGATTTGGATTTGGCTTGGTAGGATAAGGATAACGACAAAAACCTTTAGAACCTTTTTCTTTATGGAAATTGCCTAATAATGGAAACAAAATTCAAGCCCCAGGATTACCCAGATAAAGTTGGGTAACCACTTTGTTCCTTAGTTTAAAAATCTATCCCTTAGAAAAGAAACTAATATCAATGAGATCACATTTAAGAGGCTCTTAGCCTTGTGTAATTTCACTGGGATGGTCCACCAGCAGCAGTGGCCAGTGACCAGACGTCTAATATGCAAACAGGGCTTATCTCGTGACCTTCTACACCAGGATTCTATGGCAAGGCAGGCTAGGACAGGCTGTGCTGTGATTTTTCAGATTCAGAGGTCCATAAATACCTCGTGGACCTTCATTCAAAACGTGGTCCTTCAAGTGGGTGTTCAGATGTTAATAAACTTTTATACATCCTCATAAGACAAATGACAAATCTAAAAGTCAGAGAAAATTAAAACCACTGTTCAAACACAGCAGCATTTTTTTTTGGTATCATTAATCTACAATTACATGAAGAACATTATGTTTACTAGGCTCCCCCCTTAACCAAGTCACCCCCACATACCCCTTTCACAGTCACTGTCCATCTGCATAGTAAGATGCTGCAAAATCACTACTTGTCTTCTCTGTGTTGCACAGCCCTCCCCATGCCCCCCACGCACTATACATGCTAATTGTAATGCCCTCTTTCTTTGTCCCCACCCTTATCCCTCCC